TTTGATCCCTGAAGCACGTCTTGAGCGGTGCGCTTTTTCAGCTTGTTTCAACAGCATCAGCTAAAGCAAGGTGTATATTGTGGATCTAATACTATCTTTTTATGATTTTATGAATTATTGATGAGCTAAGTACTGTTCGCCAGCTTAATAGGATACTTTTATACTTTTTGTGGTTATGCGTTCCACAGTTTTGATTTCAGCTCCAAATTATCCCAAGTGAGGTCCATATAAAAGTGGTTTTGGTTGAATATAATGCTGAATTTATGGGACTTATTTGATGATGATGGCGCAGAGTGTGTGAACAAGCTCAATTGCCTCAAAAACAGGCGGAGTTTTTCAACATTTCACCTCCCACTTTAAAAAAGATCATCATGGATCTAGATGGATTTTCAGCCACGCTTCACAGCATACACGTGCTTATTTCAATCTAATTGGTCCAAAATTCAGAGAAAGCAAAAAATGGCACTTTTTAGTGATCGAAGTTTTTCACCAATATTTTGTGAAGAACACATAAGTACTTTGCGGTTGTTTTGCGGTCAAGTTTGATCTACGCTAGTTTTTTGCTTAATTTATTTATGGCCATTTAATTTCGCTAGTTGGTCGTAATAGATACGTGTTTAGATTTTTTTATGCATAACGAAAAAGCAACAAAGTAATCTGAATGGAAATCATTGCAGTTGCAATGGGGCATTTAACATCAATGTGTTAGTTGTCAAAAAGGGGACTCAGGCAGTTTAAAAAGAGAAAAAGTGCGGGGTGGAGAGTTTGAAAAGCGATCGAAACATTCAGTTATATATTTTGATGAAAACTTTTTTCCTTCTCAAATTTTTCTGCATCAAAAACTTTAATTTTTTTAAAATCATGGTCGCAAAAATGCGCGGTACCTATACAGCACCCGTCAATTCTTTTATTTGTTTTTATCAGTTTAGTTTTGTTTATTTCGATTATGGAAATATTAAAAACTAGTTTTTTTTAAGATGCAAGATTTTTGATTGTTACTTTTTTTCGGTTTATCTATCTATCTAAATCTTAAAGTTTTTAGAAATGAAAGTTAACGTTTTCAAACCTGTGGCATGGTGCTTCTAGGAGCTGCAAGATTGGCCTCAAAATACGACTGCTCATCTCTTTTTAGTTGAAAGATGTAACAATTAATTATGGGTTTTCAAAAACTTTTAAAACCGATTTTTTTTTACATGAAGGTCTCACAATATCATATTCCCAACTCTTACTGTTCGACTGCCAAACCATGAGTGTTCGAGCGATATAATTAGATAGGTATATATAGATGTAAAAATAAATATATTCCTTAATAACAGTTTCCGGAACTATCGAAAATTTTTCAATATTTTGGGTTGTTTACTTTGAGATTACTGCTTTTTCTCACGCAATTGTCCCTGTTATCAAAATTTAAAGAAAACATTAGATCTGAGCTATTTTAATTTTTGGGCATTTTGAAGTTAGGGAGGCCTTTTTTGCAGTTAGGGAGGCCTTTTTTGCAATAATTATGTCTACAGCTCCAACACTTTTTTGAACAAACTATATGAGACTGTGTTTTTTGTTTTTTACATAATGGAGTTTTTTATTGTTTCCCATATAGCTGCATGTTCATTGGAGACTTGAAACTAGTAGATAATCAGTCCTTGAAATTTCGATGAATTTTCCGTACTACTTTTTGAAAATTAATTTGATCAATCTCTTATTGTCAATTGTGGTTTGTTTCAAGATAACTGGATTTTGATACACCACTGTTTATATTGCGAATTCAAGCAATAAACATAAGACTCTAGATCCATGTAGTTTGCGATCTTTTAAGTTTGCTAAGCAGTTTTTTATAGGAACTCGCCTGAAAACGTTAGTTACTCGAATGAACATTTTCCAATACCCAAGTTATCAAATGTTTGTTATAAAGCTGGAAACATCTGTAGTTTGTTAAATTTTACAGGTGGGGCGAAAGCCTGAACTTTTTAGAACATTAATAATGAGTTTGATTGGCTTCAGTCATCATTTGGACAAAAATTAACAAAAGAAACAAAATAAAATGAACAAAATAAACAGAATGACTTCTCGTCTTATTTCGAGCGGGTAAAGCGAGCGAGCAGTCTTACTTTAATTGCTTAAAAGCTTACAATAGCTTAATGCAACAAGTAAAAACTTAGTTTTACTCGAGTACGTTTAGTTTACTTTGAGTATTTTAGCGAATTTTTTTTTTGATTTTTTTTTTCGCTTTTCAAGTACTTTTTCAACAAAAATTGGTTTCAATTTGCTTATTTAACTATTACTGTTGAATTTATCTAATCTCCAGTTTTTTGTTCAGCTCCTTTATCACACTACGCAGAAAAAAACGACAATAATTTGAAAAAAATTGTGTTTTTCAAGACTATGGTCGGAATATTCTGTGCTACTTGGGCAGTAACCGGCTATCCTTGTTTTCCTTGTTTATACCGATTTCGAAATTCGTTGTAGTTTAATCTTGCAGGTTTAAACCCTTAATCCTGTTATTACCTCTCTGGTTTTTTGAAAAAAGTTCTTTCACTGGCCACACGATCACAGCTGACATGACTCACTTTTCAATCCCCATTTTGTTAGCAGAGCGATTTTATTCCTTGATTGACGTATGAGACGACGCTATTTGGCACTGAAAGAATCTTATTTGGAAAGAGTCCTGACCTTTTTGTTGACACATCTGCTACCAAGTGCATTTTCGCGTTTAGAATAACCGAAAAAAACGTAACTCTCATAATCATATGATATACGAGAGTTGATTTGTTATGTTAATCACGTATACAGTGCTGATTTAAAATATCAGGACAATTGAGCAAAATTGAAACTTCAAACGCTTTTTTTCTGAAATTGGGTTAAGATTAGACAAAATTGCTCAGAAAAATTGCTTAATAAATTTTTTTTGTTCTTGAAGTAAAATCTGGCCCAATCTATACTCAACTTTCAGTAACAATTTGCAATACTTCATCTTTTCAAAAAATGGCAATAAATTTTCTGATTTTCAACCAAATATACTGATACAACCGATTGAACGTAGGCAAGTTTCAAACTTTAATTTTGGCTTTAGTTAATCAAGAATTACGCTGAGAATACATTTATAAAGAAGCATCTTACACAGCCCTACGATTTTTAGAGGGGTAAGTTCTCCAAAAAATTTTATAAGAAAAAATATTTTTGCCTATTAATTAAAAAGGTTATTTTAACTAAAGGAAACTCAAAATCTTGCTTAATAACAAATTTTAGATTTTTGCACACATTTTTGGGCATTTTACCCCTATAGAACATTGTTGGGCTGAGTAAGAGGTTCTTTTTGATATAACTTTTTTATCAATCAATTAAGTAGTTTCAGCGTGATTATTGTGTAACTAAAAAGCCAAATTTATCATTTTTGGAGTAAAGTCCGAATCTCGCAAAATTAATTTTATCATAATTTTTCTGATGAAAATCTAAGAAACTTTTGTTCTCTTCCCTTTTTGCCTAATCTTAACCCAATTTGAGAAAAACGCGTTTGAAGTTTCAGATTTTGTACATTTTGTCCGGATAATTTAAATCAGCGCTGTAGACATGATATAGAAGATTTCATGCAAAATGTCAAATTTGTCGTGGACTAGTTAAAAGTTGCAGCATGAAGCTTCGTCTTCGTTAATTCAGTTGAACCAATACATTTGGTTCAAATTCAGAAAATTAGTGGCCATTTTTTTATTAAGATGGAGCATTGCAAACTATTACTGAAATTTGAGCATAGATTGAATAGATTAAGCCAGAATTAACTGAAGTTAAAGAACAAAAACATTTTTTTATTGTGATTTGACTTAAATGGGCGGTATGTCCTTTAACAGTCGGATTACGCGGTTGCTTCAAAAAAGACTGAACCAAAATATCTAAAATTTTAAATATGTGTAATCATCATTTAGTTGAGATAATCTGTTTAAAAACACAAAAGCCTGTCTTTTTCATGCGAGGAAAGTATCTGGTTGTTTGTGAATGAACTAAGACATCTTCCGTTCAAAATTGGGAAGATGTAATATAGTATGATGAAGTTGTCAATAAATAAATAACTTGGGCTGTTTTTTTAATCAAGCTTTGTTAATTTTGTCAGCAATTTTTATGATGTCGAAAACAGCACCTGAAATAATTGCAGATAAGACTTTAAACAGCGTTCTTTTAATAGTTTACGTCATTGTAACATCTCTCGAACAGTCAAGCGGTTTTAAATTAGAATATGAAATGTTTAAATACTATTTTAAAAGCAGACTTTTGTGTTTTAAAACGGCGGACAGAAATTTAAATTGCAAAATTGTCGTCTAAGACCCGTTTTAAGGCAGATTTCACTTCTACTGCTTGTTGTGAGTATTTAACGGACACTTTGACTCGTAAGAAGACGCTTTTTGAAATTCAAATCGAACGTCTTTCACTTTTTTGCAATCAGCTAATTGCTTTGAAATTCAACTCTTCAGTTTTTGTGAAAAAAAAATAGTAAACAGTTCAGCCTTAATTTTAGCATTGTTTGTTGAACGCATTCAGATAAACAGTACAACTGTCATGAATAATTTTTGATTGATTGGTATAATTTTTGTTGAAAGTTCAATGCTTGTTGACTCCAAAATACCGCCAGACAATAAACAAACAAGGAATGGGGTTGAGCTTAATAAGGTCAAGTGATTGAGGTCAAATTTACATTTGATCAGCATGTAGTGAATCAGAGATTTCACGGATCACGACTTCAATTTTTCGGTACAGTTGCTAAAATACATAATTTAATATTTTGATGTGTTTTTGAACCCATGTTTTGATAGGAATATAATTACTCAAATTTCAAAATTATTTTATGCTTTGAAAAAAAAACAATTGAAAACAGAAAAAAAGTAGAGGAATGTGATAATTTTACTAGGCTAATTGGATCAATTGAGCAATCTTCATCGGCCCTCTATTCTCGAATCAATTTCAATTGGTATTTAACCCTAAGTGGAGCTTAATTGATGCCTAATGTTCAATTTTAGTTGGGGTTCGCGGGTGCGGGTTGCAACCCGTCCAATAGTGTTTCGACAAACCCCTCGATAAATAACTTGCCGAGCGCGGCTTGTCGAGCGGCACAAGCAAGTAGCCAAATGTTGCTTGCTGCCGCACACCTCGAGGTAAAGTCGCTGCTGCTAAAAATGTCAGACGAGAGATTAAACCGAATTGAATATCTGTTGCACACTTATCGGAAACGAACAAAACATGGATGAATTGCACTGCATAATAATACTATTCGCACATAGACATTTAAAAAGTAGTAATTAAGTTGAATTAGAAATTTCAGTTCCTTTGAATTAGCGTCAAATTTTCAGAAATAGAAGGTACCATTCAGTAGCGGATTTACGGGGAGAAGGCTCCCCTCCCCCTTAGGGTTTCGACCTCGTCACCACCCAGAGGGTCTCTTCAATATTATTTTTTGACGTCAATTTTCAGTCGACCAACCCTATAACCTTTCGAAAGTCGTCTTTGGCGCCCATTTACATTAAATTTGAGCGGAGTGCTTGACAATAAAGCGCATTAATTTCTTAATTTAAAACGTATTTTTTGACTTGTTTTGTCCCAAAAATTTGCCGGTCATTATAATGTTTTAAGAGAGCTTGGAAAATCAACTTACTCGACTAAGGAAAAATTTCACTCCCCCACGAAAAAATGGTAGACCCGCACCTAGATCCATCAGAGAAAATAATCCAAGCATTTTACTTATCGTTCTGCTAATAGAAAACATTTTGCAACAAATATTGCAAAACAACTGCAAACTGAAATTTTATGAAAACAATTTTTATCTTAAAAAGGTGCTCTCTACTATTTTATCAAAGTTTTCTTCAAAAACAGGGTCGAGAGATAACCATCATTTTATCAACATTTTGAAATGTATTGAGAATTGAAGATACATTAGGTGCTAATTCGATTCAGTTCGATTAACACGATGTAATTTCTTGTCTTCTTTTCATTAACGACAATCTTTTCCTTTCGTGCACTTTTTCAATGATATTTGTTGCGTCAAATTTTGAAAACAAAAGAAAGTTTGCACCAAATAGCGCTTTAGTTCTTAACTTGATAATTTGAATGTCTACTAAGGTAGTTGTTCTATTTCAGGCCAGTAAACTGTACAGCCCTTTCTCTGGAATCCCCGGACTGCAAATTCCTCCGCCGCCCGGGAGTGGCCTGGACGTCAAAGGTAAAGTTTTAAAGAGCTTATTCAGACTTTGAGCCTTGTGCCACTATCGTTTTTAACATCTGATTCTTTCTACTATCTTCGCAATTGCAAAAAAATAACTTAAAATGAACCAGAGATTAAATTAAATTGAATTAATATGAAAAATGAACGAATAATGTAATTCGTTTAATTGATTTCGTATGATATATATTTTTCGGAAACAAACAACATTATTGAATCACCGATTGCGATTTAACGATGAGACTCTTTTATTAGTTGTCCAACTTTGCGAGTTGTCAGTTTCCTTAATTTTACAATCTGTCCATTTTCGCGTGCTGGCACGGAGCCAATATAATTGTGCATAATTTTTGGAAAAATTGCTCAAAGATTAAACATGTCTCTCTCTTTGTTTCAGGAGCCTCTTTGTCCGGCGGAGTGTCCCATTCGGGGTCTGGGACAGGGGTGGGGGTGAGTGGGAACCCTTCTGTGTCCTCTCCCCTTTTGACCTCTGTATCTTCAAGTGCAACTTACAACACTGCCGCCGTATCAGCCGCACTATCCAATTGGTAGGCGAATTCGAACTATTATTGTTCCAACTTTCGAAAAAAGTGACGCAATATTTATACTTCGGGTTTTCTATTTCAAACAGTTTTGTCTTTGAAATTAATCGTTTTGATTTTAAGCAAAGATACAAAACTGTGATTTCACAAAATTGATTATTTCGATTTAGTTTACTCAACCATATCTCAAAAATTGTGTGCCTCTAAATTTGATTCAACTGAGAAAAAATATACATTTTGTAGGATGAATTTTTAGTCAAATCATGTTTTTAAAACGAAAATCTGAATAAAAAGGTGATTTAGGCAGCAAAACCCAGAAATATTGTCTTGAATATCATTCTTGAAAAATAAAACCCGGGCTTCATTGCTCTGACCATATTTTAATGTTAGAAGCAATGCTTTGGGTGATTTCTAGCAAAAATTAGTAGCCAAAAAATTCAGATAAAATTGCGTGTGGTTTAAGGGAAAATTTTGATCCTATATCAGAATAAAGAATTAAGTACAAAAATTCATCTTATATATCAGTGTTGTGTTGGGCTCTGATGTAACTTCGAAAAAAAGACACATATTTTAGGATTAACTTATAGTCAATCACACTTCTAAAGCAATCATAAATCTTTTTTAAATTTCAAGAGCTTTGATACGTTATAAGTTGTTATAACAAATAGAAAGAAAACGAAGTCTTAGTCAATTTTTACGTTGTACCTTGAAGGCCAAATAAAACGAAATTCTGAAATACTTTGGTAGAAAATCTAACTAGCCTAAATGTTATTTTTGTTTTCATCTCACTTTGAGTAGATATCAAGTAGTTTTGTGCCACCACACTTCTAAACAAGTTTTTTGAATGGGACGCTTCATCTTCAAAAAAAAGGCGAGACCGGATTTACAATCGAGCACTCTTTGCTCTAATTTAGATGAAATTGAAAATTTTACCTTTAGCCATAAAACTTAAAGCCTCCACATTAAAAACGAAGCCTATTTTTGTTTCGATTTGTTTGCAAATTTGGATGGTGTATTGGTTGTAATTGCACAGCTGTCGGCTACTATTCTTTTCATTTAGTCGTTTGATTCGTTCATCAATACTAATAATTATTGGCTTTAGTGAACCTAAACACCTGAAAATAAATGTAGTAAATAATTAAATCTGATTGTCTCAACATCTGCCAGACAAAGTTTGCCATCTTTTTCATAGCTTTTTAAAGAAAATAAAGCTAATATTTTAGAGTTAAATTTTCCAGACCTATTTATTTTTTTGAACTAGCCATTTTTGAAGGGATTTTTTTTTCATATGGTTTAAAAGCTACTGATGTTTTGATCTCAAAAAAAGTTTTCTTTTGTGATCATATTTTGTGATCTTCGTCCACTCGTAAATCATTCTAAATTGAATTGAGCCAAGATATTTTGTGTTATTTCCGACTTTCGAAGAAAGTGATGGATTACTTGTGCTCGGGGTGGTTTTTTCTCAATTTTCGACTTTTTAACTGGCCGTTTTTGAAGAAATTCAGCGATGTCCTGATCTCAAATTTAGACATATAATTTACCTGGGGTAGTTTTTCGTAAAGTTATGGGGGTTTAAATATTGCCAATTTGGGATAATTGACGCGGATATACTTTAAGCAGATATAATCAGTTTAGAAATTGCTCCAAACTAAATACGGGCATATTATTTGGTCTATTTAATACAGTGCTGATTTAAATTAACCGGACAAAACGAGCTAAATTTCAAATTTGAAACGCTTTTTTCTCCAATTGGGTTGAGTTTAGGTGAAAACTTATGAAGACAAAACTTGCTTAAAAAATAGCAGAATTAATATGGTCTAATTTGTTTTACGAAATTCGGGCCCAAAATTTTACCCCAAAAATGGGTCATTTTGGCTTTTCTTAGTTAATAAAAAATTACGCCGAAAATACCCAGTCGATCACAGACATAATTATATCAAAGTGAGCCCCTTATGTAGCCCAACAAACTTTAAGAAGGGTATATTCTCCAAAACATTGTATAAGTTAATTTATTTTTGTTTGATAGGCTACAAACGTAGTTTTTACTATAAAAAATACCAACTATTTATTTAAAAACAATTTTTAAACGATTTGCAAACTTTTTTGGAGAATATACACTTCTTGAAGTTTGTTGGGCTAGGTAAGGAGCTCACTTTAATATAATTATGTCTGTGATCGATTGGGTGTTTTTGGCGTAATTTTTGATTAACTGAGAAAAGCTAAAACGACCCATTTTTGGGGTAAAGTTTTGGGCCCGAAATTCGTAAAACAAATTACACCATATTAATTCTGCTATAATTTTAAGAAACTTTTGTCTTCATAAGTTTTCACCTAAACTCAACCCAATTTGAGAAAAACGGGTTTTAAATTTCAAGTTTAACGCGTTTTGTCCGGTTAATTTAAATCAGCACTGTACTTAGCTATACGCAAAACATATCTTTTTGTTTCGACTTTTGAAGAAAACGGAACATTTATGATTGGGGTGGTTTTTTTATTCAGTCAATTTTCTGCGATCGAAATACTAGGTTTTAACAATATATTTTTATGCCCCATTGAAGATATCATTTCTCCAAAATCAAATTTATAAAGATATGTTACCTCCGATTTGTTTGCAAAGTTTTGTGTGTGTGTGAAAATTGGCAATTTGGCAATGCTCTGGACTAATTTATGCGCGCTATGTAGATTTTATCCGTAATCCCGAAAGTGTAACGCGAATTACTTATGCGTGCCCGCACAAGAAAATCGTTCGAAATTGAATTGAGTCTAGCTAATCGGTCGTATTAATTTTGTACGACTCAAGTTTTCACGCTTGATCTTTTATTTTGTCCAAAATTTATTGTTTTTCAATATTTTCGTTTCCCAAAAGCAATTCGATATAGATTACAGAGCAGTCGGAACATTCAGGGCTTTGCCCTGATAAACGTATGAGCAGTCTTGTTGTTCATTTCATAGCGTGTGGGGGTACGAGCGTTTTTGTGACACAGGCGGTTTTGTTTAAATTTAAATTCACATTGTCGTATAAAAATTTAGAAATTAAAAGCATGTGAAATTCCTGCAGACGAAGGTTTGTTTGTAACAGCATGTTCTCTATACTTGCGGCTATAACACCGTTAAAATCGAATTAATTAAATTGAAGTCAATTTTTTGTACTGGTAATAGAAGCTCAATCAGGTTGAAAATGTTTTATCATGCCAAGTAGTTTTAAAACGTCATTCAAGCTATGACGGTTAAAGCGAGTATAAACGTTTTTCTAGACCATTATTTTTTAGATTTGCCGCTCGTGTAAGTTGAAAAATAATCAAAGAAGAAGTTTGTTTGAACGCGCACCTATCTGATGACAAGTTTATTATGCATAGCAGAAATCAATCCAAGTTGTTTAAAAAAACCGTCGCTCGCTCTTGGCACAAAAATCTATCGTGGTGCATCAATCAAACTAATAATACATTATACTCAAGTGAGCCGGTTTCAAAGCTAACACGATACGTAGAGGAGCTCTTGATCCGTCCCTCCAATTGAAGACTCTTCGCCTCGCCGCCGTTTTGTTGTTTTTTTGCTGGCTGAGTTGTGCTGACGTCTTGCTTCTTACACGAAGTTACTACTATTTTTTACATGCTCAATTCAACGCATTCGTTTAATTTTGTTTCATCAATTATAGTCATGTTACAAAAATGAATTTTTATATAACCAAAGTCACTCACGATTTAAAAAAGTGCATATATTGTTAGAAAATAAGAAAAAAGCATGAAAAACGGAAGGATAAATTGTTAACGTGATTACTTAAATTAACATTTGAAATAAACACTGATCTAAACATTCGAATTTGTATTCATAACCTACACGCATTTCAAACGAGTTTGATTTCAGGGCGGCTGCTGTATCACCTCAAAATGCCCGTTTGCCGCTTGCTCCTCCCCCTGGGCTATCCCCAAACAGCCTGGCCAATCTCAACACTCTTCATGGGGCGGGGGGACCAAACGGGACGAGTAGTAGTTCACCCCTGGCGATGTTCGCCGCACATATGTTCAACGGGAGGCACCCGTCGGCGACTAACGGAGCAGCTGCTTCATCCAACCCATATCATCAGTTGCTGGCTGCAGTTTCAGCCGGCGATTTATCCAGGTCAGTTGTCAGATTTTCGTGTTGGCTGTCAAGTTTCCTTGCCCATTTTCATGAATCGTTTAGTTTCTCAGCTCATCGATATTCCAAGTAATTTTGATATTTTCCATACCACTACTTTTTTGAGCAGAAAATTTTTGGCAGTGAAGAGGTCAAAGTCCTGAGAGGACGGTTTTTTCGCTGTAGATTTAAGATCACATCTTTATTTGGGGATTTTGTGCGTCTATGAGCGCCGACGCACCGACCCCAACGAGTGAATAAAGCGAGCGAGCAGGCTTACAATAGTTAATTTAAAACGTAAAAACTTTTAAAGTTTTTACTTGTTTTTTTTCGATTAACCTTATGAAATATTGTTTCGTCTTTTTTTTACAAAAATGTTTTTCAATTAGCTTATTTTATTATGGCTGTCGAATCTGCCTAATCTATAGTTTTTTGATCAAGCTCCTTTAATCACACCGCGCCGAAAAAAACTACAATAATTTGAAAAAACTTTTTTATTGTGTTTTTCTTGCAAGACTATGGTCGGAAAATTCTGTGCTAATTGCACTGTAACTGGCTAGCTTTGTTTTATTTTGACATTGAATGTTGAATTTTTTGTCAAAAAACAAGTTCGTTTTTTGTTTCGGTGCGTTCATTGTCTTTTTTTCCAACTGTCTGTTGGCTATGTGTTTTAGTCTAATTTCGAGCAAATAAAGAGAGAGAGAGCCGGCTGATAATATGGCGATAAGTTCTCCTTTAAGCCGTGAAAACTTATTTTTCCTGCAGTTTGCGAAGTTTTTTAGCACCTTTTTGGGAATAGAAATTACAAAAAAAAATCGTATTTTTTTTGTAAAAAATGTTTTTTTTTTGCTTTCATTCATTTTTCGAAGCTTATTGTGGTCGAAGCTTTTTGTGTACTTGCTGTCCTTGTTTTCTTATATCATTTCAAAACAATTTTTTCGAGCTGAACGCTGTTAGACCTGCAGTTATTTAACACGGTTTGTTTTTATTTAAATACGGTTTTTAGCGTAAGGAGGGAGCTAAATTAATTTTGACAATAAACAGAAATTTTCATTAAATAGTATAATTGTTGTCAGCCGGTTCTAGATTTCTTTTCCTGAATTGTTTTTTTCCAACATGCTTGAAAGACTCCAGCATTCGATTCGTTTATATAACTGTCAGTTTTAAATGGTTGGTGCGGCAAGTGTTTTATGATAACGACATCTTGAAACGAAAGGAAACGCAACATATTTATGACTGACTTTGACGTTTTTATGCTCAATTCATTTCAAAATTCAAAGCTATAAATTTTGATTTTTATGTTTTTTTCAGATCCAATCCGGCCTTTCCTCGAGGTGGTCCCGCTGGTGCATTCGGAAATGTTGACAGTGCTTCCGGAATGCTCACACATCCGGGAGACGGCGGAAGCAACGGGGGACACTTGCACAGAGGCGCTTCAAATGGGGTAGCTCAGAATAACCACAATGGAGGGAGTCAAGAACATATGGATCAAAATCATCATCCAAATCACGGGTAATTTTTTAATACCAGACTGAATGAAATTAACTTAAATAAGCAAACTTGATCAGTGAAAATGATTTAAGTTATATTTTTATAGTTTGTTGTCTTAATTGCTTCCCGTTTTTTTTTTCAATTTTGCGTACTTTCAAGTACATTTTTATATGGCCGAAAATCAAATAAGGACCATTCGTTTCTGCAAATATAAGGACGCCTTATTATAAATAATAAATGTGACACAATTACCAGATGAAAGAACAGGCTGTCTTGCTTGCTTTTACAACATACAAAAAAATAAGTCATCCTTTTGGTTGATTGTTTATTGTCAGAATTCGGAAGACCTGCTTTTGATGTTTTTGTTCTTTATTTTTTGTTTATTTTTGATTGTTATTTTTCAGAATGAAGGAGAAGCCGCCTAAACCTGCGAAACCATACGTGAAGAAACCTTTGAACGCATTCATGCTTTTCATGAAGGAAAATAGGGAAAAAGTTATGCAAGAAAGCACTTTGAAGGAATCGGCTGCTATCAACCAGATTCTGGGAAGAAAGGTAATTAATTTGTTCTAGGTACAGGAACAAGCTGTCATAATTTAAAAGAGAGTCGATTAAATGCAAAAGAAAAAGTTGGAAAACGTTTACTTGTCTGCAATGGCGATGACTATCGACTGTTTGGTAACTCAATAAACTCCTGGTCTCTTACTCAAACAATGATTGACAGACTGCAATTAAGCATACTCAAGTATAGCAGGGGCGGATTTTCAAAAAATTTCGACAATTTTGTCGACTTTTCTTTAGGTCGACCAAATTGATTTTCTGAGCTCTCCTAAATGACTATAAAGACCCCATTCTGACCAAAGTTTGTGCGCCGCAGGCAAAGTTTTGAAAAACAGACCCAAAAAGGAATTTTCGAGCAATTTTTGGAAAATTTTGACCAAAAAACGTTTTTTTTTCGGCGCGCGCTCCCCCCTCAAATTAGTATATATTGGCGCCAAAGGCGTGTTTAGAAAAATTTTAGGGTCCGTCACTAAAAATGAATCTCAAAATAGTACAAAGGGGGGACCCTTTGGGTCGGCAAGGGGTCGAATTCCAGAGGAAGGGGTGTTCGCACCCCCTAAACCCAATTTGCTACTCTATGATTGATATAACAACTGAAAGCAATTTCAGTGGCATCAATTAGAAAAAACAGAGCAGAATCGTTATTACGAAATGGCCAAAAATGAGAGACAAGCACATCAGAGGCTTCATCCAGCTTGGTCGGCAAGAGACAACTACGCCACGAGTAAGCATCGAAAACGCAGGAAAAGAAGCTTGACTGGTTTCCCCGATGGTCAAAATCCAGAAGGACATCCTGACGGATCTGGAGGCTTCTCGATGCGAGACCTGGCGATGGGAGATCCCGGACGTCTCTCAAGTGGATTCCTAGGAATGGAGAACTTAGCAGGGCTCACTGCCGATGAACAAGCGGATGTTTTCATGCAGGGTAGACACTTACCTCCGCCGCATCACCCGTCGCACGGAATGATTCCAGGAATGGTGCCGTCACACGCGCCTCAGCAGAATGCTCGCGTGGTGCCTGGAAATCCAGGATTACAGGGTCCAGTTATGAATCAAGAAAATCAACAAGGTGATGGCGGGATGGCTGGTGCGAATGTCAGTGGTGCTAAAATGATGACAGCTCACTCTGTAAAATCGATGGTATCAAGTTCCAACTCGAATGACACGACGGCGAGTAGTAATGGCTCAGATAATGTAGACCACACGCCAGGTACGTTCAAAAATTTTTTTTTTCTGTTTTTCGCCAAGATATGTTTTTATAATAGAACTCGGCATTAATGTCTATGATGCCAAGTACAAAATTGTCCTCTTAATTACACAAACCAAGCTCAGTGTATAATAACGAAGATTTTTTTTTGACCTAAGTCGCATATAAAAATGCTCATTTGGTGACACTTTTGGTATATTTCAATTTAATCATATTTAAGCTTATTTTAGCATAAACATTGTTTTGGCATTTGTTGCTGCTTTATTTTTGGCAAGTCTTAGGTCCTGTTTTTTTTTTTTTTTTAAATATGTATTATGAAATTTATGAAAATGGTTGGTTTTCGTTTTTTTTGCGACGCTTTTGAAAATTTTTGATATTTCGCAGAAATTTCGTTTTTCTCAAAAACAAGTGTGCCGATTTTCAATAAAAAAAAGGTACCAATGACAAAACTAGTTGCTCTTCTATGTGCCTGCATGTTTCGGTAATCGCTCTTCATTTTACCTCTACAGTCTTCGAAAATTTCAGTAGGAGTAGGTGGATTTTCGGCCTATTTGTTTTTTAAATTTTCCATTTTTTCAAATGTTAAATGCGCAAATCTGAGTTGAAGGTTTAAATCATAAGAACAAGATTTATAAGGAACTCCCCTTCTCAAGCGGTTATTACCTAAATTTGGTAGAAAGAAGATATGGCCTCAAACAAGCCATTTTTTGACATTGTGGCTAGTTTTTGAAATTTTTCATTTTTTCTCAAAAATTACGCTGCCAAATCGGAGATTAAGGGTTAAACCGAAAAAAATGTATGCGAATTTTACCTGCGGAAGCGGCTATCCCCTGCGTTTTGAAATTAAAAATGGCCTTAGAATATGTCCAATTTTTGAAATTTTGCCCGTTTTTTGGAAAGTTATTTTTTTTTCAAAAACTTTACCTGCTGATTGTCAGTTTGATAGTTCATTAAATTACCATGGTGCTTAGATTTTCCCTGTGTAATTTCTTTTATCCCTTTTTTTTGTAGTAAAATTGATATGGAACTCGGAAAAATTTTTAAAGGTTTTTTAAGGTTTTCGTCACTATTTTCGAAAACTCTTCGCTTTTCTACTCTTAAAACTACTAACTAAATCTAATTTTAAGGCTTCAATTTAAAAAATTAGGGTGCGGAAATCTTCAATCTACAAATTAGGGCATGTAAAGTAGAGGTATTTCCCATGCTTTAATAGAGAAAGTTTATGGAAGTAGGAAAAGCTAAATTTTGCTTTTTTGGATTTCCTCGCTTGTGTTTGCGAAGCGCAACTTCGCCTATGTGTTTAATTTTTTTTGTGAATAACTTTATTCATAGGTTTGGATTCAAATTTTCAAAGCCAAGAAAAAAAGTACATTACTCAATACTGCATTTATGACGAGTATGGTATGAGGCACCACCTCAAATGACAAGTTCAAGCTATATTTCTTGGAAACTTTGATTCACTATATTTTAGAATCGGCCTCTAAGAAATGTCGGGCCAGGTTTGGCTTGGAACAGCAAGAATCGTGGTGCAAGCACTGTAGAAGGAAGAAAAAGTGCTCTGTTTTTACTGGAAATGACGATCCGGCTCCTGCCTCAAACACGAGTGGAAACTCATCTACGAGTAGTATCACTCCTCCAAATAAGGATAAAAGTAGACCACCTAGTGATGGTCTTGTTACGCCGAAGAACATTAAGTTCCCCGTAGACCCGAGAACCACACGAACTAGTAGCGAAGACGAGTCGCCAGGGTTCAATACTGACTCAATGGCGTCAATTAAAAACGAACTCGTGGGATCGTTGATGGAAGCTAGAAGCGCTCATGCTTTAACGATTAACGACTACCCGGCTCCGAGTAAAAAGCCAAGGTCTGAACTAACGCCGAATATAACAGTCTCGAACGTCAGTTCAATGAATAGAATGAACGAAAAAGGTACATCTGAGAAGTTTAAAGTTAAGTTCGAGGCAAATGAAAGTGAGGATTCGAACAGTGACCTTGAACGTGAAAACAACGTATCAGATAATACTGTGAAGTCTTTCTCTGGTAAAGATGTTCCGCAAACGTCTATTTTCAGCTCCTTGGCAAGTGTCTTTGGAAATCCTCCTGGGTTGATTCCAGCGTCCGGCATTCGATCTGGAAATAATTGCTCGCTAGTATCCGCAGCTAGCAAGCTGCCTTTATCGCTACAGGGTCAAATAATGTCTCATCTGAACAACAACCATATCAATTCTTCATCCTTCACATCTCAGCTTGATGACAAAATAAGTCCTACAAATGACTTGGCAGGGGTTCGAGCCCCGGTCTCAGTCGCCACTGCCGCAGCGTTCTTGACCAATGGAATCAAACCAATTGGGTCTTCAGTGTCACCTTTTGATCTAACATCGAATGTTCCGCTTCAGTCGCCGACAGGCGCGACAAAAGATCTCAACGCGCTTTCTCCACTGCTCGATTTACACCATGCAACAGTCAACAACAACATTTCCTCCCTCGGTGCAATAAAACGATCACCCAAAATGCAGAGCATGACTGATGTGTCAAATAATAACAGAACTTCGGCTTGGACGCCCATCTCGCTACCCATGACGTCAGCAGAACTAGCAGCTTCAATTACGTCATCGATAGCTGCTTCAGCCAACAGCGTATCGACAACGAGCACCTCGCTCAAAAGTACCGCTGGTCACATTCCGTTTGCGTTTTCTCCATTCAACCCTGGAGCCCTGACTTCGGTATCAAACAGTACGACCCCAAACTCGCCCTTTAGTCCGCTGCAACCAAGCTTAGCAGCGGCCGCAGCTGGATCCCTATTCTCGGCTGGTTCACTCTTCGCCGCCGCCTCAAATGCAGCCAACGCGGTCTCCTCGGCTTCAGGAGCACCTTCAATTCCGTTCAGCCCGTTCTTCAACCCAGCAGGGTTTCCAGGGGCTTCTTTTCCAGGGTTCAAAGATCCCAAAGACGCTATGGTGTCAATGGCTTTGTCAAACACTTCGCCAGCTGCAGCTTCCCAGAGCTAGCTGAATTGAATCAAAACTCTACAAAAACTCCAGAATTTTCTCCATCTTTGGTCGCGTTTCCCCCAAACTGTAAATTTATTTTAGTAATCTTTCTGTTTATTATTTTGGGCTGACCTATTCTTGTTGTCTGATTAGTAATATTACATTCCGGGGCGATCAAAATTTTCAAAATGTGTATTTGGATCTAATTTTGAACGATAGTAACACGTTATAAACTGTTATAATGACCCTTAAATTTGAAATACTTTATCCCAAATTTGTTCATTAAAGTGAAGTTTGGTCTTAAATGCAACTTTTAAATTGTTCGACAAAGAGCAGCAAAATCAAATTAGATGAATAAGTTGATTATCGTGATGAAATTAACATGAACAACTGTGAATGAATTGTGAATTTAACTTTTAGCGATGCACTTTATTTACTTCGAAGCATAAATTAATTCAGTCGATGATTCTTTTTGTTCCTAATTCTACAATTTCCGTTAGAACCAATATTTTCAATTTGTTCATAGATATAATATTTACTCTTGCTGAGTACATTTCAAACTTTTGTAAAATTTAGACTTTCTCAAGGTTTTCTTTTTTTTCGATCTAATAGCGAATCGAAGAAAGTGTTCTGGAAAATTGTCCCATTTCCATTATAAAATTGCAACATAGCCGAAGATGCACTTTGGATACAATCTCGCAAAATATTGTAGCAGATACTGTGATCAATTTGAACTCTGGAAACAAAACGCCCTCTCACGGAACCAAAAGCTGGGCTTAAAGATTTTGCACCTCAAACCTTAGAAGTATTTTGGCCGAAAAAAGAGGTTTATATAAAGGGATAAATGATCCCATTTCATATCAAAATAATAATTATAAACGAATTATAAAAATTCATCGGAATATTGCAAACCACTTTTTAAACGAAGAATTTATACAATTGCGTCGTGTGAAAGTAGATTTGCACTCAAAAAAGCCGAAACGAAGGTTAGTTGTAGTCAGTAGACAGATTTCAAACACAATAACTATACAAGGACGTCTAAGTTCCTACGTAAAAATCATTCTAAAAAATGTCATATTACAATAATAATTTTGCAACAGAACCGAAGTTGCACTGCATACATATTTGCAAAATTTTATCAAATATAATAATTGTTTTAAACTCGGGTTAAAATACGCCTTCTCAAAGAGTTGAAAGCTGGACCTATAAAAATTGTGCCTCAGGTCCTTGCAATTATACAGCTTTGAACTTAAAAAAAATTTAGCGTATAAACTGAACACAGAACCAATGCACCTGCGACTTTAGGACATCTGAAAAAGGTAGCTGCATTGAGTCAAACAGCTCTCTGTTCAAATAAAAAGAAAAAGTTAAGGGAACACTATAGCACAATAGGCTTTAGCAACATTTTTTCAGACAGGACTGCTCGTATCAATCAAAATCCTTGAACATTCCAATGCCTTTTAAACTGGTCTCAAATAAATGTTGTTTTTGAAATACTCTCTAACTATGCTGATTTGATTTAATTTAAGTTAATATTTGAGATTTTTATGGAATTAAAAAGACCAAACAGTTTATTGCCTCAATTCTTTTTCGAACAAATTTGTGATGCAGTATGTATCGCCACGCATTGAAATTTCGTGTTATTATTTCAACATCAAAGTATAAAACGAGCATTTTCGATAGACTTTTGGTAGGATAGTAAGCTGACGTTCCAAGATGGGTCCCCCGAAAAGAATACGTTAGAAATTAGCGTGAAAGACAACATCCAGAGCACAAATAGTTCTCACTTTTTTCGAAAATAGACACAAAACAAGTAAAGTAGAAACAGTTCAAACTACAAAGAAAGGGCTTCAATGTATTGCATCACAAAATTATGTGTGTCATGAAATCTACGGCTATCGAATAATTCCCGCAGAGCACTGTTTAGCATAATTTTAAAAGCCTTAAGGGTTATTAATTTCTTCCGGTTAGCATAATTGTTTCACATAATCTATTTCAGTGTAAAAAAACGTCCCATCATTTGCGTTAATTAAAACCTTAAGCTTTTAATAAATGCCTAATTTTCGTAGGCTGGGAGGTATTGAAGAAAATCAAAATTTGCTGGTCTTGTTGAAAATCCACTATTAAACTTGATTTACAATTTTGCACACATGAAAAGAAAATTTCGGGTCTTCCAGATAAAACCAGATTAAGATATGGAAAAACCTACCCCACAATTACATTAAAAACTGCAAAAGCGCATCAAGGTGCCAGAAACCTGGAGCTAGGTCCTTTTGAGTCAATAGGTAAAATGGTTCAAAACTTTACCACCGCCAACAATTGTCAATCAAAGTTAGCCGTCTGCTGTGAAGGTAGCCCAGAACGCTGCAAGAACGTTCGTAAAAAAATGTTTCACATAATTTTTTCAAAAATGATTTTTTTTGTGCGCGTTGCGAGGGAAAAAAATTTGAAGCATAGAGCTTCAGTAAAAAATACATAAACGACCAGGGTTGTTTTCACAAATTGATACAAAAAACGAACAAACGTGAAAAGCGAGAAAAAAACGACAAATTTTTGGCAGATGTTTATTTGACTTCTCTTTTTGAAACTTTAAATTGACAAGGAAGCGCTAAAAACTTTTCAAAAACTTAACTTCCTGGAGTAGAAATGAAAATTCAGAGCTCAAATAACCTTTTTTCTTCTAACAAACTTTTCCCATTTTACTCATTCGAGATAAAAATAGAAAGCAAAATCGGGTTTTCTCGATATTCAGTAAGCTTTCTGATGATTTTAAATTCTCGCTCAGATCGCAATTAACAAGGTTTTTAAATGGTGTATTCTTGAATATTTTCCAATTAGTTTTTGTGTCAACCAAATTTGCATAGGAAAAAAGTAAAAACAAAATTTAAAAAACATCCGAAAACAAAACAAAAAATAACTGTCTTCTCCAATTTCAAACCGTGATTGTAATTGATGGATCAAACTTTTTTGTTGTAATAGATGTATTAAACTTAGCCTGAGAGAACCTTTTTTCAACCGTTATTTTCCTAATTTAATCTAAATAAATAGCACCGTTTTTTGGGTATGAATTTAAGACATTCCGCAACACCTTTCAGAAATTAAAAGTCAAGTTTTCAGCTTATAATATAAGTTATCTTTAAAAGAAGGTAGCCCAGAATTGCACCGGTTTTTGTGCAATTAACACAGAACGCTTCGACCAAAAAAAAATTTAAAAAAACTAAAAAAATGAAAACAGTTTTGACACAAAAAACTGTTTTCAATGAGGCAGCTAAGCTAGTTTTTTTTCTTCAATTTTTAATGGTCATTCGGATCCCTAAATATAGCTGAATTTGGGGAATTTCTGACTATATAAAGAAAAAGGGAAAATATTTTGTACTTGTGAGTGCTGTGCACTTTTTATTATGCTTACGTTACTCGGTTTTCTACCAAAATAAGCTGAGTATTCAAGAAATATCATATCAAAACATGTTTTTACTTTTTTTTGCGATTGGTCTATGGCCAGATGCATCTGTTCATTCATTCAGTCCTCCATTCAGTTAAATTTTTCAACGTTTGCATTTTGTACCAGCTACAAGCGTTAAGCAAAACAAATTGCCTGAAGGGAGAAGATGCTAAAAGAATATGACTGCTCATCGAGAAGAAAATCTAAGAGAAAAAATTAGCACCTTCTATGATACGAAATCATTTTTATTGAATTTGACTGACTTTGAAAAAACTCAGTTGATAAAAGCACCGATTAAGACAACTCATATAACGTAGTATCAAATCAATCTTTTTTGAGCCAGCCAAAAAACATTAGAAAAAACCCGAAATTTATAAAACAATGTCGATTTTGCTATTCAATCTTATTATCCATAGGCAAACCATCGACGATTAGAAAAACATAATTTTTGATTAGATAAATTATAGACTCGAAAATTGTGCTATGACAACTCACAATAAATTGTTCAATTCACGGCTAGATAAATTGAAGACACACTGTTGGCTATGGTTTCACTTAGCAGACTGTTTTTGATATCTGCCATCAGATTGCTGTTGAAAATGACTCCAATTACCCCCATCATCAGGCCACCCAGCTCCATCTCACTCTCTCATTCCCCTTCCACTTAATCCTCATAGGTGATGACCTCGTCTGTCGCACCCTGGTCGTCCCCCTAGTCTACGGGGTCATGCGAAGACGGGGGTTTTTGGCTACGTCCTGATGCTTGAAACAAAATGCCAAAAACGGCATAAAAACTTTAAAATAAAGTGCATTTTAAAATATTGGATTTGGAAGAAGTATATTTATAACAAAATTTTTTATGAGCAACATGGCTTTAAAAAAAGTGCGTTGAAATCAATCGCGTTCCACCTGAATTAAAATATCAATTTCCATTTCATGAAGACCTAGTTGCTCAATTTCCATTTGTTTTCTTTCAAAATTTGAAGCAAAAACTTTATATTACAAATGCGGATCACTATTTCAATAACTTTAAGGCTTCAAATTCTTTTTTCAGAGAATCAACTTAGTTTTAGGGTCTCAACTATCATACTTAACCAATTTTTTCTTGATGAATGATAAAACTTTTTAAAATAAAAAACTGGTTAACCTTAAAGTCATAAATTGTACGTCTGTGAATTAAGCTAAGAAGTTACTGCTTTTTGAAAACTTTTCTGGTTGAGAATGCGGCGTCCTTCTCTTAATTAGTTCACATGGGGTCACAACTACAGTTTCTGAAAACATTTTGATATGACCCTTCACTGACTTTTTCATCTTCTCTCCAATAAAAAGAAGGCTGTTTTCAGTCAAGTAAAATGCACGAATTCAAACAATTATGGATTAGAAAGATGATCAAAAATGAATCAAAGTCAGATAATAAAGTGGTTATGATGACTGGCTACAAAAAAGCAAAGTATATTAGATCATTTAAAAAGAACTCAAAAAAATTTATCATGAAAAGTATCCAATTTTTTAGGCTTGGATGTTCAATCTTGAGTTTTGAGCAATGATTTTTTATTCAGGAAAGAAATTCGGCTCAGATTTGAATGTTGAATTTGATGCTCTGTTCCAGACACCAAATGTTCAATGGACATCAAAGTTTCCACCTAAAATAACAACAAACAGAATCGGTCACACGGTTAAGTTTTACACTACTTCAAAATCCAGGAAACGCAGCGTGAACACACAATTAAAACTGGAAATGTTCAATCAAAGATTAATTCATTAGGACTTTATTACAACATTCCCAGACGTTTAACATGAACATTGAAAAAAAAGCTATTAAAATGCAGTTTGAAATGCAAAATAATTGATTGAAACACCATCCACTTTCTTGTGAAAATACTTCATAAAAACTTGTTACTTACCATGCTACCAAAGCGTGTTGAATCATTGGTGATGAATAATTGTGGCTTGCTCGCTCCTTGCTCATTATTCCTCTCCTTGCAAGAATGGCATAGATCGACCCTTTTGTCTTTCAGCTGCTTTTATTTTACGGTCGCTATCCGGTTTATTTTGCATCCGGTTTATTTTGCATCCGGTATATATATGATTGCAATTATAG